GTGCCGAACTTTCCATAGCCGGTTTTTTCTTTTTCGTTGAGGCGTTCTCTTTGCGTGTTCTTATAAAGTATAGCGAGAGGCCTAGCCGACTGGCTGGGAAAATACTATGTGATGTGTGGAAGCAAATGACTGAGCGAAGCTCGATCTAAGAGCTTAGGCAGATTGTGTGTGATTAGAATACATTTAATATATGCTAAATTTTATACTATATATATTTATATATACATGTGTGTGTATACGTACAGTCCTTAAAAAATAAGAACAGAAGTGAAGAGCTGAATTATGGCGATATTTTACATCTTTTCAAACATCATAAGCCTGACATATGATCACAATTCTCAGCTGATAAACTGATAAACATTGCGCTTAGCTCATAATTGGAGGGAATGCAATAAATTATTGTCAACAGTTAAAGCTCACATAAAAAAGTATACAAAATCTCAAACGCATATCTCTTTAGGCAAATCAACTCAGGTAAGGGTATTTCAAGTACATCACTTAAATGACTGTTCACTCCCCTCTCTCTCTGTCTCTCTCACACTATCTCTGCTATTCATTCTAAGCACAAAAACAAATGTGAATGTCAGCTGGAGAGCTTTTGGTTTAGCTTTTTTGCGTTGTCTTGATTGAGGGCAAGATAAAGCTTTTGCCAGTGTCAACACTCAACACTCAACGCTCAACACTCTCTTGTTCTCTCCCTCTCTCAGTCATACAGGGTGCTCTGCGCAAAAACTTTGTCAGCGCCTCTGTTGAGGTGGGCGCCTGCCCCGATCTGAAGGCCAAGGAGTTTGGGCTGGTCGAGTCCGGGCTGGGCGGCAAAGCAACGCTGCTGGAGGTGGGCGGTCCGCCGTATTTGCTGCCCCAGGTGCAACGGGAGAAGCTGTATAATATCACGGAGATAACGCGCCGCATACAGGGTGCTGGAAAGATATTCGCCATTGGCGCCGGCGCTGGACCCTACCCCATACGCAGCTCCAACTGCGAGGGCATCTACAATCTGTCGGTCAGCGCCGCCGACAAGCTGACCAATGGCAGCTACACGGCCACGGTGCGCGGCGAGCAGGAGGAGTGCGTGCTGGAGCGCATTCCGAGCTCGGAGCCGCGCTGTGCCCTGCTGCTGAATCTGTATCTGAGCCGGGGTGAGCCTGGGCCCGTGCTGAAGATCAGCGCCAAGCAGCGCAAGGGCGAGCTCAACTTCATTGAGTGCATACGCCAGGGTCTCGAGCAGCACTACGGGGACCGAGTGGTCGGACTGGGTGGCATATTCGTGATTAGGAAGGGCGCCGTCCACCAGCACGTGATGCGCGACTTCAGCGCGACGCCCATTCACACCGATGAGCAGCTCAACCAGTGGCTCAAGTTCTACGAGATGCCCGCCCAGCTGAACGCCCTGGGCACGCTGGTCACCAAGGAGCACGACCTCGATCTGCGTCTCCAGCACTTCCACTCCTTCTCCTTCAGCAACTGGGGCGGCCACTACCACTACGACACCACGCCCGACACCGTCGAGTACGAGGCCTATCTGAATGTGGCCGAGCGCGTGGTGCGCGTCGACAAGCCCCTGGCCACCCACAAAGTGGGCAGGGACTAGCCCACTTAGAGTATAATAAATAAAAGTCACAAAAAAAAAACACTAAACTATTCTTTCTATTGATTGATTGTGCAATAAATAAAGCTAAAAGTCTAGTTTATTCGGAAAGAAGATACGAATGATGTAGAATTATAAGAAATAAACATATGTATAGATTAAGGGTTTTCCATTGACCTTTTAGACTCCCACTACGAGTGCCCTACTAACTTGTTTCACTTGCCAATTGGATGACGGTCTAGTCTGCCCTTTGCTCTATAAACACGTTAGCTAACGACCTAGACGACAAGAGTGAAAATAGTTTCTATTTTAGTTAAATTTCTGCTTCGTTTCATAACGGTGGTTGGGACTACAGTTTATTGGGAGCCGGTTGAATGGGGCTTTATGTAATTGGCAAGCAAATTGACAGTTGAACTTTCTACAGATGAGCGGCAAATCAATCAAAAGATGATCCATGGCCGACGAGCTCCACTTCTAGACAAAGCCGAGCACATGCTCTCGGGTTCTGGTTTTATGACTCCGTTGCCCGCACTAATGAGAATTCGCCAGAGTTACGGCAAGCGGCTGGCTAAGCAGGCCGTAAATAATGCAGCAGCAGGCATGCACCAATATCCACACTCCACTCCACTCCACTCCACTCCACTCGGCTCCACTCCACTCGGCACTCCACGACATGTAACAAGCATTTCTTTTGTTTCAGATTTTTGTTTTGCTGGTTTTTGCATCGCTGGCCATTAATTATTTAATAGCTGCGATGCAAAGAGTCGAGTCGACTCGAGCCGAGTCGAGTGCGAATCGTGCGGACCACAGGCTATTAAGTTGTTTGGGCGAATTTCTCATATCGAGACTGGATTTGCGCGCTATCTGTGGCACTACGATCGAATGCAATTAGTATTGAATGCCAGCGACAGTGGCGATCCACAATATATATACATCAAATAACTTATATAGACCTTTGTCGATATTGACGAAAACTATTTAGGTGCGCTACAAAGGGAATTCGATTCGATTCTCATTTTACTTTTTTATTGATTTCAAGGTAAGTTCATACTTTGTAAACTTTCTATTTGATATTCCCTTTATTTTAAACTTTTAATTAAAAATTTTGCAGACAAATAAAAAATAAACTGTTATCCATATAAGTTTTAATATGTAGCATACAGTTCTTTGTATATGTATATGTATATATGCATATCACACAAAAACTTACCCAAAAATTGAATAAGCTTTATTCACGATCTATACAAGTATATGCAGATATAGCTTTAGTAGATAAATCTATTAGCTTTCAGGTCACTTTTGCTGCTTGCGGCTTTTTATTTTGATTTTGATTATAAATTACTTTTTAGTTGTGCGTCTCAGCGAATAGATTTCTAATATTTGCATTTAGATGTTCGATTATTCAAATTTATGTTGGGGCCAACAACAATAAGACGGTCGACTTCATCTCCAGCTGTACAACAATGAGCCGGCCCGAAAGCCCCACAACAATGCGATGAAAAATACGTTTATCGAACTGGGCTCGAACCAATTTAATCTGCGATTTGGGGCTTCCTCTTCGCTTCTCTCTTCAGAAAGAAGCACACAAAAAGTTATTAATCTGAGGCGAGAGAGAAATGCAAATACGATTTCGCTGCCGCACCAAAAAGAAAATACATATATACGCCTATTGTTGTTGTTGTTGTTTTAGGGTATGTTGCTGTTGTTGTTGCTGTTTGTGTTTTTCTAGACGCTTGCACACTTATTCACAATAGTTAAGCACACACAATTAGCACTTTTTATTAGCTCAACTCGGTTTTGATTGACTGCCTGCCCGTGGGACGCGCCCAGCTTGCAACGAGTTGTTGCTGCTGCTGTCGCTGTTGCTGCTGCTGCTGCTGCTGTTGTCGTGCTTTATGTTGCTGTTGCTGCTGTTATTGCTTTGGCTGAGATCGCGCTCACGTCTGTTCGGCTGAAACTCACGTTGCAGACTGAATGAAGTTGGCCAACTTTATGAACTGAATGAGTTGCTGCCGCTGTCGCTGCCGCTGCTGCTATCGTTGTTGTTGCTGTTGTAGCTGCTGCTGTTGCCACTTGTTGTTGTTGTTATGCTCTGTTCAAAGCATGAAGTAAGGTATATGGCTGAACGTAGGCTTGTATGAGATTCGAATGAATTTGAATTGAAAGCTGATATGCCTTAAGCAATTGATAAATCTACATTTATATTCATAAATACTTCTACTCCTTGTTCAGGGCTATCAGGGACAGTTCCTTTAAAGTGCGAATATGCCCCTCTTGTTCTTAACAGAGTATTCTGCAGTCATAGCTTCTATAAATGCTTTTATCAAAGAGCAAATTCATATGCTCAGTTGTTTACGAGTGCAAGTATGCTCTACTCTACTCGATGACAGAGTATGGTGCAGTCAAGTGCATCAATTGCGCCGTCTGCTGTTGTTGTTGCTGCTGGTTTAGTTGTTGGCATGTTGTTGTTGTTGTCGTTGCTGCTGCTGCTGCTGCTGTCGCCAGTTGTTGCCTTTGATTGAAATTGTCGCTTTATCTCAATTTGGACACATTTGCTGAGAGCTAGATGAATTTTACCATGACTAAACGGTGGCAAGTGCGGCAAACAATGCGGGCTAGCTGCAGAAATTTGTAGTTTCCAATTCCCCAACCAGTTCGCAATCTATTAACTTATGCAGTCAATGCCAATGTCAGCCAACAACAACAACAACATCTAGTGAAGTCCTGCCCGCCAATGGCAACGTAAACTAGATCCAGCCTAAAAATCGCAGCATCGAGTCATGTAGGAGAAACGCGTTGCCGACGACGAGACAGGCTCGCCTGCCCATATTTTAATTGAAATTGCATAATGAGAGGCAGTCGAAGTCTTTATATATACTGTAGTAGTAGTAGTAGGTACTTTTCGTATCGGACAACTCGTTTTCGCGCAAGCAGAGAAAATAACATCTTGTAAGTCAAATTGCTTTTAAATTAATTCAAATTAACCAACATCTACAAGAAGCTTTGACAGGATCTCAGAGACTATAATTATGTCGTGTTATTCAATGCGTTGGAAAGTATATTGGCTTTCCTCTTCGGTGCTCGCACACAAGTTAGTCTCTAGCATTACAGGCGGCCCCTAGATTTCTGAGATCTATTTCTATATACATATATGATATAATTTGCTCAAAATGTTTTTAATTTTACAATTGTTCTTAATCAAAATAGTAACAAGAGCTAGACGCTGGCTACTTAATTAAAATAATCTGAAAGGCTCATCGCAGACATGATTCTTTGGAAAGGCATTGGATGCCAACAAGGAAAAGAAATATAATGTTGCTCGTTATGCGATGATCGTAAAACATAGTGATTACTTTTAGTGATTTACTTTTATGCAGAATTATTGCAACGGAGAAAGAAATGCATTTATGTCTTGTCAGGCAGACGCGACTCTCTCGGTAGATGGTAGTTCCGGCCCTTCCCATTGTGGTTGTAGCCGTATGCCGCATCTATTGGTTCATCTATTGGTAGCGGGACAATTTGGGCAGTGGGGCAAAGGCAGTTGCCATGATTGGTGTATTTGTCGATAATTGCGAGCTAAAATCAGACACCAAGGAGGGAGAGAGTAATGTCAGCATGAATCTTAACTGCTTGCTGAATTCTACATACCGCCAGAAGAGGGAGCTGCCGCGTTTCAGCTCTTTGCGACCCTGCAAGTCATTCCAACAGTCCACCCAGTTTCGGTAGCTAGGCATTATTGGCGGTTGGCCGGCCATAAGGCGTGAGCCACTGACTGCGGAGCATGTCGAGACTACTTGCAGTGGGTACAGTAGACTAGAGAACAGGAACTGCATGAAGCCCGCATTGTACTGTCGAGTGAGCTTGTCCTTGATGAAGTATTTGTTCACAACGTAAACTGTGGAGCTGGATAGCACTAGGCAGGCTACGTCGCACAGCAGTTTGGGGATCAGGCCAGAAAAGAAGCCCAGTATGCCTTCGGTCCTCCAGATTTCGCGAATCGAGCCCAATATTGAGTTGTATAGAGTCTCGCGACCCACAAACTGTGCCATCATGCGCAAGGAAATCACATGGAAAGGATGTGACACAATAATCCCGCTGACCGTCAATACAATGTCGCGCTTCAGATTGTACTTGAATTGCATATAGCTGGCAAGCAAGAAGAGGAAGAATAATGACGATATTCAATTCATTGTAAAGTGTAGAGCTATACTCACTTCTCCTCCTCGGTCAGCTCGGACTCGTCCTTATCTTCACGTTGGGATAGTTCCAGCTTCTCCGCAAAACGCTCACTAACAACCATGCTCAAGACGGACCCAACCAATTTGGGGGCCAGACCGCGATAACATCCGTAAAAGCCATCCACCCTCTTGATATGACCAGCTATGATTTTGTGATATAAGAGAGAGAGCAGAGACCGAAGTGCAATTTGAAATGCCGGCCGGTGACAAGTGTTATGCGATTTACTTACCGTATTGAAATATGTTTGGCAAGACCATAATGGGTTTGCCCATCAAGGACTTGCCCGGTCTCGCGGCTATGGGCTCATACCCAATCTGTATCAGCGTCTTTGAGTATTCAAAGGGATGTAGTGCAGCGCTAACACCAAGGCGCAGGCCGAACCGAATCCAGCAATTGACCTCGGTCTCCTCAGCTCGGGTATAATCAACGTAGTTCGTCATTGTCGGCCTGATCCTGATGTTATATTGACAACAATTGATCTGTACGAGTATGAAAATGTTAGCCGGTCAGCCGAATGGTTTGCACGTCTGCCCTTTTTTCGCTTTAATTCAGGTTAAAAAACTGACAAGGCGTAAATATCGATATCTGACGAGTACTACGATGTCTCTCAGTTTCAACTATCGACTAGTCGTGTTCGTTCTTATGAGAGCATTTCAACTACTGTCTATCGCACCAAAAAAAAAACATATGATAACAGCTGAACTGGCCATGAAACGATGAATCGATAGCAAAGCATATGTTTTCCGTCTTTCCGATTGCAACAATGCATAGGTATTTACTCAACATTTCTTACATTGGCACGAGATTTCGGTAAGTACTCTGGAAAGATGAAACAGAATGTGTATAATATCCAAATGAACGCACAGTGGTATTCAAAAGACGATAAACAAGTTGGAAGAATCGCGTCTAGATACGAATTCAGTACAAGGTTGCTTAGAGTTAGCATTGCGCGTTTTTCGTCCCGTCAACGAGATCCAAACCGTGCTGTCCAGTCGGTAGGTACATAATTAAATTATATTCAACAGTGATTTGTAATGCGATCTATATTTAGCACAGATGCCGGCGTACACGCCCTGCACTCGACTGTTCACGTCGATTTGGAACGCAATGATGGCAAATGCTATGATACGACGATATTGACGGGCGTGCTCAATCGTACCCTGGACAAACAGAGCCTGCCCATACGTGTGCTGAGCACCCAGCGTGTGGCAGATACCTTCCATTGTCGGTACCACGCCATTGGACGCACCTATTTGTACCGCATTGCGGTGTCGAAGCAGAAAACAACCCTCCTGCCAGATGCGAAGAGCAGTAGCTTAAGGAACAGAGCCTTCGAAGCATTTTTACCCGTTGAGGAGTGGGACAGGTGCTACTTTCTGCAGTAAGAAACTTGTTAGTTATTCAAGTGCAACCCGGTTGAGATTCCGCTCTTTCCAGAAACAACAATTTCGATATTGAGCGCTTAATTGCCGCCTCGCGCATGCTCATTGGAGTCCACGACTATCGCACATTTATGAGCGTCAGTAGACAAAAGAGTCCCAGCCGGGATCATCCCATGTTCACAGTGCGCAAAATCGATGAGATCAATATTCGTCCTGGTCGAAGCCTTGCATTGGGCCCAAACGCAACGTTGGCAACAGAAAACTACGACTATTGGGACATAGAGATCAAGGCCAAGTCCTTTCTGTACAAACAAGTGCGACGCATTGTGGGCACGCTGCTGGCGCTGGCCGAGGGTCGAATCGACGAACGGTGCATCTACCAAATGCTAACGATTCCATCCAAGCACAGCTGGGATCATCGCATACAAATTGCACCTGCGTGCGGTCTTTACTTGTGCCGTGTTCACTATAGAGATACGGCCTTTGAGCTTCCAGACGAAACGATTGCTTAAAATGATTTTGCTCTATGAACTGCAAAAGCGTTTGGCCAATCTAAGGCCAACCACCACGATTGTAACCACAGCCACCGGCGCCCGTTATGTCGAACGGCGCAGATCCTCCACCGACGAAGATCCTCCGGAACAACTAGAGGCACGCCAATATGGCTTCGTCGTCGACTCAAAGCCTGATGCAGTTCCTGCGTGCATCCTAAGTGAATTTCTCTACTTGGGGTCTCAGGACGCCGTCAGCTCAGAGAACGTATTGAAGTACAATCTAACGCACATCTTAAGCGTAGGCATTGAAACACCCAATGTCGAATTGCCGCCCACACTTAAGTGCAAGCATTTGCCCTGCCTCGATGTGCCCGAGACCAACATCCTGCAGTACGTGTTGCCCGTCGCTATTGACTTTATAGAAGATGCGCGGGCAGCGAAGGGCTGTGTCCTGGTCCATTGCAATGCTGGTGTATCACGTTCTGCATCGGTGGTCATTGGCTATTTGATGAAGCGACGGGACATGCGCTTTGAGGAGGCATACAATCTGGTCAAATCGTGGCGGCCTTGTATACAACCGAACGCCGGATTCGTGCAGCAGTTGAAAACATTTCATAAAGCATAGTTTAATATGAACTAACAACAATAGCCAGTAACGCCATATTTGTGTTATTAATAAAGTGTATATTTATGATCCAAAACTTTAATGATCATACTCTCCCATTTGAGTGTATTCAGATTGCGGTATATATTTGAATTGAAGCTGGAATTAGCTATCGATTAACTATCGATTGAATCTTCTGTTTATTGCAGCCCTGCCACTCAGCTGTGCGACTGCGGCTATAAAAACAATAAGAATGGGCAAATTAAAAACTGCATTTGTTTTGTTGGCAATTTTTAGCCACCAAGTCAATGCCGACTGCGGATGCAACAAGTTAGACAGAGATGCTCGCGTTGCGGAACCAGTTGATGAGCAGCCGGCGCAACAGGTGTGCCAGCAACAGGCGCGCAATAAAAACAAACACTATCGAGACTATTACCCCGAGGAGACAGAGGAGGAAATTGAGGGAATGTCCCTCATACCAGGTGGAAGTCAGTATATTGGTACAGATGAGCCTCATTTTATGGCTGATCACGAATCGCCAGAGCGTCTGGTAAAGTTAAATGATTTCTATTTGGATAAATACGAAGTGTCGAATGCGAATTTCGCTAAATTCGTGGAAGCTACAAACTATACGACCGAGGCGGAACGATTTGGCGATAGCTTCATATTCAAGACACTGCTCAAGCCAGAGCAGCAAGAAGAGTTGAAGGATTACCGTGTTGCCAATGCGGTCTGGTGGTACAAAGTCAGCGGCGTTAGCTGGCGTCGTCCCAATGGCATAGACAGCAATCTAGAAGGTTGGTTTTCCACCGACAGAAAACACTATATGACTGATTTCCTTTCTAGGCCTGGAGCATCACCCAGTTGTGCATGTTAGCTGGCGCGATGCTGTTGCCTATTGTGAATGGGCGGGCAAAAGGTTGCCTAGTGAAGCAGAGTGGGAGGTTGCTTGCCGTGGCGGCAAGCAGCGGAAGCTCTTTCCCTGGGGCAATAAACTTATGCCCAAGGACAGACACTGGCTGAACATATGGCAAGGTGACTTTCCCGATGGCAACACCGAGGAGGATGGCTATCCATTCACTTGCCCCGTTGATCAATTCCGTCAAAACAACTACGATCTATATAATATTGTCGGCAACGTCTGGGAATGGACCGCGGATCTGTGGCAGGCCGGCGACACCAGTCCAAGTCCCAATCGGGTGAAGAAGGGCGGATCCTACCTGTGCCACAAGTCCTATTGCTATCGCTATCGTTGCGCTGCACGCTCCCAAAACACCGAAGACAGTTCGGCCGGCAATTTGGGATTTCGCTGCGCCAAGAATGTGTAGAAAATGAATCTCTGAAATTCCACTGATCACATCATTGTATATCTATACCATACCATAAGTTTTATTTAGCTTATATGGTAACATAGCAATATCTATGCATACATATTTGTTTGTAGTTATGGTGTATATAGGTATTATGTATGGCATATAACGTATATGAATCTTCATTCTTAAACTTCATAATTGACAACGTTACGTATAAGGTTTTTCTTAAATGTTAGTTAATATCTTTTTTGAATTAGTTCACATATTTAAGTATGCTGCAAAGCTTGCATAATGCACATTTGGTTGCAGTTGCTAAAAGTACTCCACGTAGTGGAAATTTGGTATGCTAAACGGCAGTTAAACTGCCCAACTGCTTAACGTTACAAGTTACAGTTAACAATTCGCAATGGTTGGTCCGTTTCATTGGTAATCGTTTGCCTGCGTTTCTTACGTTGCTTAATCATTCGACTGCGTCGTTGCTTCTCCAATGTGGCCCCGTTCTTACGGGGAGGCGGCTTTGGCTGATAAGGCAAAGGCACGTTATTCCACCGGCTATAAAGATAAACCAACACTTGAATTATGTACATATATGTAATGCATAACGACGATACCTTCGCCGGCAAATGGAACATGTTCCATTCTCGGGATTGCTGTGCTTCTCCCAAAAGATGTCGTGAACCAGAGCACCACACCACGCCTTTGAATGCAGATATATGAAGAACTTTCTCGACGCGTATTTAGAATCTTGAGCACACAACTGGGCATGCCGTAGCCAGCCACTTCTCTTTATGCGTACCAGGCCACAGCGATAGCAGTGCGTCCATCGCTGTATATCTGCTATGGATACCCAGAGCGGTTTTAATTTTGGCTTGATATCGACATCGGCGGTGTCTTCTATTGGTTGCTGCTCTTCGCTCATCGGCTCATCGTCATCAATAAGATTTATAGTCTCATTATCCGAATGACTGTTGTTGCTCTGCTCCAAAAGCTCGTGCGACTGTGGCTCCTCATCACAATGCCTATGCTTCGACTGGACCGGCGACTCGTGTATATTCATATGATTGCCCTCCTCAATGGGCATGGCACGCAGCGGAAGCAGGGGCGTGGTATTTGGAAACGGTGGCCACGGCTCCGAGTAAACAAATACATGCAGCGCTCCGCTAATGCAGGGACCATGTGTTTCCATAGGCTCAAGGTCATGCCACATATTACAATTGATGCATTTTTTGCGTGGCGGCTGAGCACAACAAAAGCAATGATACTCGCGAGATCCAGAATTGGTCAAGCATATTGTTGAGTTGATGTTTTCAGTATCGCGCATGCCACATTTGCAACAAATGCAGTGCATGATGGCCCTACTCCAGCCAAACAGTGCACAGCAGCGATCAAATCTCTTATTAGGTTTAATACTTATTAGATCCAAATACGCACTAGTGGTATAAACGACAAAAATCAAGAAGAAGAGCTTCTTTCCTGCCGCCAAAAATATAAACTCAAGTCGAGCTTGTTAGGCTTAAAGTCTGATATATCTGCACGGTAACTCAATCAACTTTGTGCAATGTATGTATCTTGTTATCCTCTTTGCACGGAATCGAATTGAAAAAAATCCCAACAAAAGAAGTGTCTGTCGTTCATATCGTTTGAGCTATCGATAGTTGCTTAGATCACTTTCGACACTGACCAAAGACTGCTCAGTGCTTTCGATGAAAATGATGACGAATGAATGACAAGACGAAAGAAGAAGCACAAGTTGCTGGGAGCCATAAGCAAAATTTGAAATTTTTTATATACAAATTTACATTGACTCAAAATTGTTTTTACAGGGGCGCATATTTACTACACTGCAGCTTTACCAACTTTATATGTATTCGAATAATTTTTGTGGGTGTATCGATATTTTGCGCGCTTTCATCGACTGATACCCAAATAATAGTTTTCAGTTAATTTTAAATTTGAATGAGATTTCAGCATTCTTTTCTGCGCAATAAAAAATCCAAGTGATTTATAATATATATTGTTTTTTATTATTATTACTTTATAGTCGTGCTTACTCTTGATCGCGTTGATATTATTATTTATTAAATACAGTAGTTGGTATGGCTAATGCGTAATTTTTCATGTATATTGCTGACTATTGCCTTGCACAAACGAAAATGTTCATTGCAAATCTTACAGATTTTGACTATGTATGGATATAGATATATATGTATGCATGTATGCTAATTATGATCGATTATAGTTATGCAAATGTAAATGCATTAAAGCAATTTCTACGATATACATTCACAAAATAGATCTGCTGAAATGCTTCACTGATACAACACTTGAAATACAAATGTACAAAAAACGTAAACTACAATTATAATCGCTATATACAGAGACCTCAATTAAAAATAAAACCTACAAGCTAAAAATAAATATAACTTAAGTCGTAATCGTAATCGTAGTTCAATATGTATGTATTAATCGTATTATATATACATATGAATGTAGCCGTATATATATAAATAATATATATGGGGAGATCGTGGCAACGATCTGGGTGTAGCTCTGTGCATTTTCTGAAAATATCACAATGCAAATCATATATCGAGTATCGATGCGTGCTGGGATATGCCAATTCCGATAAGCCGTAAGGAACATTTGCCAGCTGCCAGCCTGGAAGACTTTGTAAGCCTAGTCGCGCTCGCCTCTTTAGGATCCATCGGCCGCCGACAGTTTGACGGCCTGCAGCATAACGGTTTTCAGTTCACGCGCCAAGCTATTGATGTGCACCACCGAATCGACCATTTCCTGAACCGCACTGCCGCTTGGAAAGTGCGCCGCTGCCTTCTTCGACTTCAGCACGCAAGTCTTCAATGCGTCCGACAGGGCATTGGTGCAAAGGAGGATTTTCTCGCGCAGCGCCTCCTTGGAGATATTGCGATGCACATTGTCGCCAATGGTCACCAGGTTGTGGGCACTGACGACCACAAACTTGCCATAGGCTATGAAATACTTCGGCGGTTGATTCTTCTCGACGGTCTCCAAGAAGGAGTCAATGGCACGCAGGAGATTCGCCATGTGCGTGGAAATCTGTTGAGCGTAGTAGCGCACCACCTTCTTATCCTTGTCCGTCAGCTCCGGTGACCTATTGGGCTGGGGCACGCTGGCTGTGGGCGTGGTCGGCACCGTTGGCGCGTTGCCCATGGCTGTGGACTCGGCGATCTTCAAAGCGCAATCGAATTGGGTTTTCATTCCGGCGGGTATAGCGTCTCTCAGTGCTTGATTCTTCTTGGCCGCCGCATCCTTGGACTCGAAGGCCACATAGTCGTAGTCCTCCAGCCACTCGGCACTGCCCCGCCCACCAGCAACGTGGCTCTCGCCACCATTCTGGCTGTTGAGTAGTTGATCCGCCGGCAGCTGTCGCTTGAACAGCAGCGAGGCATTGCCCTGGATGAAGCTGGTGGTGGAGCGCACGTCCTCGGTGAGTGTCTGGGCGCAGGCGATCAGCTGATCCAGGCTATCGGGCGGCCGGCAGCCGTGCTTGTCATCGCTGCGCGCCAGCTGCTCCACTGACCAGCCGCCCTGTCCGTCGAGCGCCTCCGAGGAGTCCTGTATCAGCTTGTTGGCATCGCGCAACGCACGCACCAAAGGCCTCAGCTTCAGGGCCAAATTGCGATCCTCTGAGTTCTGGGCATTACCCAATGCTCCCTCACCGAACTCGGTCAGATCGTGCAGAGCTGTGCGCAGACGCAGTGCCGCCAGCTTCAGTTCCATTATGTGCTTCTCCAGCTGCTCGGGCGTGCGCCAGTGCGGCACCACGAAGCTGAGCAGACGCGTGATGGCCATCGTTGTCTCCGACTGCAGCTTGGCCAGCGTTTCCAGCGCCGAGTTCAGTTCCAGGGGCAGCTCCTTCACTGCGCTCACCTGGCTGCCGTTGCTCGCGCTGCTCGCATTGCTCGCATTGCTGACGATGCTCGTCTGCTCCTGCAGCGGCGGCAGAGAGAACTCATGGCTGGCGGAGGCGAGCGGGCGCTGAACTGGCCGCACGGGCAGCGGATGACGACGCGGTATATCGTAGTCGGGCATATTTGCCAGCGAGCTGCGATTCGAGCTGGAGAAGCTCAAGGACAAGCTATCGCTGGTTAGCAGAGACGACGCCGAGCTACTGGGCGTCAATGTATGCTGCTGCTGCTGCTGCTGCTGCTGTTGCTGTGATAGTAGTGGGCGTGGCACATCGTAGGACTCCTCTTCGACGCTCTTCAGCGAATCGAAGCGTGCGCCCAAAGCCGAGCCCGTCGTGGGCGTGCGCACGCCCACTGCTCGGCCGCCGGGCCCGTCGTAATTGAATTGCACAGGCGTCGCCGGCTTGGGTATATCGTAGGTCTCGAACTCGCTGCCGTTGCCCAGCGACCCGTTGCCCATCATCATGCTTAGGTTCTGATAGATGTTCTGATTGCTGTAGATCTGCTGCGTATTCGGATTCGGTGAACGCGACGTTGCCCCACACAATGTACCAGGAAAACAGTTGTAGATGTACTCATCCCCGTGCCGCTGAGGCGTTATGACCTGGACAAGGAGAGAGCGAACGAGAGGGTAACATCGATTAGAGTATGTCGCAAAAAATTATTAATAATTTCACATGATATATGTATATATTTTATATATAGATTTATATTATAACAGAAACCTCAACCAGAACCATTCGTACATATATTTCAGGCCGTGCCTGTGCCTGAGTCAAAGCACGCAAAGCATGCGACAGACGAGTGCCATGCCCACACGCGCCCCCATCCACGCCCCTTACTACGACTACGACTGACTTATCGATTTTCACAATTGTTGTTGTCACCAGCCTTTTCTTGGGCTTTTCATGAATGAAAACTTTTACTGATGATTCACACCTGTGCACTCCTGCGCTGCTGCGCTGCTGCTGCTGCTGCTAGTGGAAATCCAAGCACAATTATCACATTGTGTTAACAATCAAATGCCAATTAATAGACAATCAGCGGAAGCAAAAGTAGAGATTTAAGAAAAACTTCACTGTTCGGTGGCCAAAAGACGACTGCGAAACGAGTTTAAAATGCAGCTGAAGCTGAAAATACTGGGAAATAGCAATGCGCAGGCGCAGAACAGGACAGCACGAAATACTGGGCCCAAAAATATCCCTTCTGGTGGCGCTGCTGCTGCTGCTGCAGTTCAATGCCGTTCACTGTCAAGGTAAAGCCGAATGAACCCTTAAGAAAATACAGGGTATATACCGCTGAAAGGGCTTTGCTCGCCCCTCCGACCATATGTTCGATTGATGAAATATGTATAATCGAAATGCAATAATAAATTACAGCATATGCCAAATCCATCAGCAGCCGTGCCGTCGCTACCCTGCATAATGAGACGCGCATCGAGTCGCGCCACGCCCACTGCCAAAGCAGTAGGCAGCGCATTGAATCGATTGCCAATTAGGTAAACCGTGAAACGACCCAGCCCCTCTAGGCTACCTGAGGTCCACTTCAGCCGGCAGTTGTGCAACCTTTGTCCGTGAAGTGTCGGTTGACGCGTAACACGAGTCCCTGTTGTTTGGCAATGCGCCGAAGGATGTACCAGCTGCCACACACACGCACACACACGCACACACGCAAAGAGCTCTTATCAACAATATCAGCGCTGATTGTCTTTGAAGTCAAATAACTGCAAATGGAACCAGCTCAGCCGGCCATTAGTCTTGGCTGACAAAAGAATGATTCTTTCTATTTATTGGGCTTGGCCTGAACTAGTTCTGAAATGGCACACCAAACAGCAGGAGGCGCGGCCTGTAGCTGACTTCAAGGAGCCCAATTTCCACGTTACTTTTCCTGCTGATTTTCCTGCCGTTCGTCGACTTCTTTTGTTGTTGTTGTTGTTAGTTTTTGTTCTGTGCTGATGGATCTAGGTAGCATTTTGAGAGATCTGTATGTTTATGGCACATTTGGGGCACTTTTTGCAATAGCCAAAACGACCGCCAGGGGGCGCAGCAATTTCAACGAAAATTGCCAAGAACAAAGACGCTTTGCTTTCGGCCATTGTTTATATAATGTGAACCAAAACTACTTTTGACAATTTAGGGTATATTGGCTCTGTGGAAATGTAGTTAAGAGGCAGAGGTAGGCGTGGCAGAGCCCTCAAAGTAAACATGTATATTATTGATGATGCCTGTGCATCCGCATGAATATGAATATTCCTAACAGCCATTCGCAGGGATTATCATTTTTCTCGATAATTCCTACCAAGGATGTCTGGAATACCGAAGCGTATCTCCTAGTCGGACTGGAGCACTCCTGCTTGCCTTTAAATGGGATTTTGATAGTTGAAAGTTTAAATTCACAGCACGATCGCGCCGAGATTTCTTTCAGTTGTTGTTGTTGTTGTAGCCTATTTTGATAGTTTGTTGTTTTCTTTGGGGAAAATTTGAGATCTTTTGTAGCTGTCACAACATTCGTTGCTTGCTCTTTGTGTTTTTATTGATGGCCCTGTTGAAATTCTGTACAGTAGCTGTCCAAGATTTGTATCTCTGCAGCTCATTTGATGCATTTCAATGCCGCGGCTCACACCTGCACGCACCTGGGCCGGGCCAGTTCTTTGACAAACACAGTTTCAGCATTTTCTCACGTACAAAAACACAATTCCAAATGCAAATTTCGAGCAGGGCAGGGCAGGGCTGGGCAGGGCAGGGCTTTGGAGATTGGCTAAGAGATGCCCGCAGGCTGTAGCCCATTTCTCCATCGCTCCATCTCTCCCGCTCTCTCTCCCTCACACGCTCTCGCTCATCTTTTGGAAATTTCTTGATTTTGTGGCGTCATGTCGAGCCACTTGGTCGCAAAGATCTCAAGTGTGCCTTGCCTTGCCTTGCCTTGGCTCCCCTAATTAATGGCTATTTATACGGAAGTGTGCAGATCCCAGAGACAGGCACTTGTGACCTTGTCATATATATATATATACGATATGCGATATATCTATATATATTCTGTTTATATCGTCAGAGATTTCACAACATACGCTGAGGCCATAGAGAGTCCGCATTCTTTGGCAACGTCTTCCCATATGGCCAATCGTCTCTTTTCTGCTCTAACTTTGGTCATGCACAAATCTCGACAGAACCAAAGATGCTGCAAAACAACAACAACAACAACAATCAAGAGTTATTGTTGCCGCATTTGCTTCTGGCTGGCATTTTGTTGCCATTTTTGGTCATTGAAATAAAAATGACATGTTTTCCTCACACAAAACTCGAAAACTCTTTTTGGAGTTAGAGCCACAGACATAGCCAGAGCCACAGCCAGAGCCAGAGCCAGAGACCTGACCACATTGCCATAAATCTTGATGGCTCGTTGCACTCGCTGAGCTGGACGCAGTTTTATGGCCAGTGCGTGACCGCCTGGCTGAATCCCTGCCCCGTTGCCTTGGCCCCCCTCGACTGCCTGCTTCGACTTATGTGGGCTCAAGGAACTTGAAATTGTCACACAGTTTTTGGAGCCCGCCTAACGGTGGAGAGAAAGAGAGAGAGCGCCAGCCAACTACCGCTGCGTCTGTGATTTGGCCAGGCCAACAATGAAGTCTTAAGTATTTATGCATTTGGCCGGCGAGTGTGTTTTATATATGTACACTAGATAACATAGTTTACTGTAGGCCTTTCGGGACATGGCTTCCATCCTTGATCTTCCATCTCGCATTCATTATCCACAATACTTCAGTTCACATCTGACTTATCCTAGCTGCCATCTTGTGTATTATATCATCTGTCTTTCATGATTCTTCTGCCATATTCCATCTATCTCCATATTTGACCATCTTCCTTCTTCTATATTCTATCTTCTGCTTTCAGCTTCTGTATTGCACTTTCCCGAAATTCTGCAGAGCTTCATTAGCTTATCAAGGGTGTTCAAGATTCGGCTCTGAAACAGTTACACAGCTTATCTCTGACTGCGTCTGATGTGTACTGTGTGGGATTTGGGTTTGTGTGGCAGGCAGACACTTGCAGCTTGCAGCTTGCAGCTTGCAGCTCGCTGCTTGCCGCTTGTGGTTTGTGGCTGCTGCCCAAGAGTTGCGCAACATTGTTCAAAGACATTTCCGTTCTCAATTAAGTTAGTTTTAGATTTGTGTGTGTTTTTTTGGGAATGCGGCTGATATGCACTTGATATGGCTCAGGCGAGTGTGAGTAGACGCGACGTCACTTGAGATTATTGTGCTTGATTCGCTGCATTTACACCTGTTGGCCAGGTCAGGTCTTTTGTTGGCCGCGCCAAGTGCAGCGGCTCGAGCACTCAGCTCAACTCTCCGACGTTTCTCAACTGCAGTGCGTAAACTTTTTGACGCTTTCGAGTGGATGTTTTTCAATTTGAAGTCCGCTTTTTGGCGTGTGAGTTTTCCACTCGCAGGTTTCGTCTGGCCGAATCAATAAAACCCAACAGCAGACACCTCAAATCAACAAAAGCGGCATTTAATTTGCTTTCCATATACCCTGTACAAAAGGCAAACGATCAGTTCGGGTATATTCGTGAAAGATGAGGCCAAGTCTTCGATTTTGTTTCTCTCCATCTCCCCATTAATTATTAGAGGGTATTGCTCGGTCGCTCACTCCCGACTAGAGAGCTCTCTCTAACTTGTCTTTTGTTGCTTTTTACAGCTACCACTTGAGAGGCACTTCTGCTGGCTAGCTGTACCCCGACTGGCCTAGCTCTATGGCCAGCGGTGTGTGGAAATGTCGAGGTCTCCTCTCCGCAGAGGAAAGGTTTCACCCATGCAAACGCAATCTGCCACAGCCGGTGGCAACGAATCGGTTGCAATTTGCAGTTGCAGCTCGGACAGACAAGAAATCAAAAGATGCCAGAGGGCGGCGAGGGGCGGAGATGGAGAGAGAGAGAGAGAGAGAGAGAGAGAGAGAGAGAGAGGGTGGACGGCTTTGCTTCTCTGGCGCAGCGTTTATTTGAATTTGAATTTGAATTTATGGTTTCACTTGCCAGAGAATGAGAGAGAGAGAGGGAGAGAGAGAGAGAGAGAGAGAGAATGCAAGATTGATAGCTGCCGATAATGCGAGGAAATGTTTACGACTCTGTAATTTGGACTTTATTTTATTTGATTTGCTGCGCCAAGTGCAAAGAAAAGCGAAAGTCCAAGCAGCCAGAGCTATAGATAGATATATAAACAGATATGTATGTGTGTGTGCGTGTAAGTGTGAGAGAGTCGAAAATGCAGATGGCAAAGTTCAAAGCTGAACGAATTCGTTGCATGTGGTGCTAATGATAATGGACAATTATGAATGCAGTTATGCAATGGATGGAGCGAAGGAGTGTGGCAGTGTGGGCGTGTGGGCGTGTGGGCGTGCTGCGGCACGGATTGCTAAATGAAATTGAAAGGCCCGAACGAAACAATTGCCATGGCCGGGTAATTGTCCATTGAGTGAGTGGGTCAAATAGATGTCAGAGCTGTGAGATGGGTCTACGATCGCGCCCAGCGCTGTGAAAGCCAAATGAATTGCTGAGAACTACGATTGCTGTTGGCCAATGTATTAGGCAAGAGCATTCGAATATCGAATATCGAAATACAGATGTGTTTCATAGCAAAGCGGGCAACCAAAAGGGAGTTGCTACAGTTCACGAACTACTGGTTCCACTCGAGATTCATAAGACGATGAGGGATACTCATCTTATTCCCAGTATTTACTCAACTTGAAAGACAAACCTCCAAGTTTTGCATTTTGGGCTTGAGTTAGGGTATTAGAGATTCGCATTGCCTCAACTGAAGTTGCTTGGTTAATGCCTTATATTTGCTTATGGCTGGCATTTATTAGCTAGCCGCTCTTCAACTAATGCCCAGCTGTCTGGCCAAGTGCAAATTATTCGTTTCCTTTAATTATTGCCATCGATTTGGCCAAATCATAGAGAGCGACTCGACATGGAAGCGAGCCCGAAGGAGGCAGAGTAACTGCAATGCAAATAAAACGCATGTCCAGCTGACAAATTGGCAAATTACGAGGCGAATTCAAGAGGAAAACTCGAGGAGCGGAAACCCGTTGGACAGCTGCCTGAGATGCTGTCGAAGCTGTCGATGCAGTGCGTCAGCCTTGCTACTGCTCCTGCTCCCTGCTCTCTGCTGTCTGCAGCCGCCTCGGCAGTTGGGTCTTATTAATTGCACAATTACGACACGCAATTGACGTGCAGAGAGTGAACGATGGCCGGCCATAATGATGGAAAACCGGCGTAGTTCGAGAAATCACTTTCTTTCACTTTCCAGACGGATATCATAATTCACACAGCAACAACAACAACAACAACAACAACTACGAACTGCTCGGTAGCCAAAAATAAATAAGCCAGACGTTGCAAAATGCAAAAATTTTAAATTAAAAACGAAAACAAAAACGAAAATGAAATCAAATCAATTAGGAGCCGCCTCAAGGGGCAACTCTCACGGGGCAGCGTCAAGGCAGACGCAGACGAAGCGTTAAATTAAAAAATTACAAGAATACAAAACAGAAAAAAGAATTAAATTTTCAGATAGACGCATGAGCATATACCCTAACGGAGATCCGACTCAAGAAAGAAAAGACTCGTAATACACTGATAATAGATTATATTAATATAGTATTATATTATATACTACTACTATAAGTATTTCCTATAAAATCAAGGCATGCATCAATAAAATGATGTCAGAATTCAGTTTAATTCGGTTTTATCGACTTGACTGGCCCAGAATATATATAGTTCATGACATCAGAGAGTTTTCATCGTATTCTTAATGCAATACAATATATAATAGGGTATATGAGATGAGCACCTACCTTATTCGGTGATACGTGCCACGATCGGCGTCCGCCTCGGCCCTGGCCGCCCGACGAGGTTGAGTTGGTGGATTGTGTGTCCGCTGCCGCGGCGCTGGCGTTCAGCATGGAGCCATTCTCATAGATCTCCGCCGAGCAGATGGAACTGTTTAGGGTCGCTGTGCTGGCCGCCAGCGATGGAATCGGCGAGCTGGCCGGCGAGGGCGAGAAGCAGCCCGAGTCGTAGGAGTTTAAGATGCGCAACCGATTGCCGGGACACAGACCCTGTCAGAAGAAGCAGATGGAATAGTTGGAATAAAAGTTTCGTACAGGTACTTCCGAGTCGTGCACTCCCCACTAGAGCACTCTGCCTTTGATATCAAGCGAAACCCATGGCTGCCTCTCATTGAATCCAATTGATTTCGATTGCCTTTTAATTAACTCCCAGGCTGAGTGCATTCTTGACAACAAAAAATGATCTAAATATAGATATATGCCATATATATATTATATATACACATCATATATGTATCTATAATAAATTGCAATTATTATTTTTTAATTGCCTGTCAGGCTGCATTAAAAATCAGCTCGTAGCTCTTTTTCACGCAATTCTTTACGTCAATTCGGCTCGACATCTGTGAGAGACTTTTGACAGTTATTTGCGATATATATATGTATATATAAGATGTATATATACTGCTCCCAGATCTTGTCAACATGTGTTTGCAGCTTATTTCAATTAAATTTTAGACGCCGCCAACAAAAAGTCGCGCCAAAACAATTTATGCAACAATTTATTTGTATTTATTTTTTATTTTTTCAAAATATCTTCAATTTTATGTATATATTTTTTAAATTTATGCACAAAAGCGCTTTTTGTTGTTGTCGACACTCAATTGGCTTGGTTTCTTTTTGGGTTAATTGTTTCCATTAAAAAGTGCGGCTACTTTTTAATTAACAGCAATTGGCCGACATCGAGTATCTCTATAGCTGTATATCAATGTATCCATGTATCTGTGTATCTATGTATCCATGTATCTGTGTATCTATGCATCTATGTAGCCATGTTTGGCGATTTTGATTTCCATTTTGATATGTGTTTTGACACCAGTCGACAGCAGCTTGAGTGCATTCATGAGTGTATTCATGAGCGCTCAGCCACAGCCCAATTGAGTTGTTAATTAACAAAATAACAACAAAAACAACTATTCGCCGCTGCAATTTTGCAAGCGACGTGCAAAAATGTTTTCAGACTTTAATCAGTTTTTAATTTGGCCAATGGGAGTGTTTCACTTGATTAGCTGGAGCTTGGACTGATCGTAGAGCAATAGTTCAAGGTCGTACCCAACACACAGTGAGCATGTGAACATTAAGAGATCAAAGATAATGAGGGGGAAATACTAGTGGTAAAACGAAAGAAGTTATGGGAGCAACTCTATGGCCTTTCATATATAAAATCTGAATTCTATTAGATTATAAACTAAAGATATTATTATTGTGAAAGAAGAACCCAAAGAGAGAGAGAGAAAATTGAAATGAATCATACCCAAGAATTCATGTAAAAATATTAATATATTATTATATTATTATACATACAACATTTACATAAATAAACCAAATTTTATGTTCAAACTGTTCATAAATTCCAATCCTCAAACGTATTGCCCATTCAGAACATGTTCCACATTCAGCTCAATTCAAACAAATTTCAAAGTTAACAAACTGTGAAACATTTCATTCCACTTTGTAGGCAATCAAACTAACAACATCGACCTATTTACACTGCACTCCCCCAATGGACTGGACCTGGAGCATGTCCAAATTGTGTTGCACAGTGTGGTGATCGCTCGCCCGGGCATTATGTGGATTATTATTACAGCTGCGGACACAATTAAAGTGGCGGAGCTGTAAATTTATATCCCGCATGCAACGAGGCGGGTGTCTGACACGTGGCCGGAGATGCTGCTGCTGCTGGGGATGCTGATGCATCATGAGATATCATGGAACGCTCTATGCGAAGCATTTTCAAAATTAAATTATAAATGCAAATTTCAACAGACTTTTTATGACCAAAATGCCATGCTAGCTGTGCTGTGCTCTGGCCCAGGCGGAATGCTCTCAATTGTTTAATTATGGATGCCAAGCACAAATGGGCGTGGCATGGCTGCCTTTTTTGGCAATTAGCAGGGCAAAAGGGGCAAAAACTGAGGAGAAGAGCAACAAAGCCAAGCCCAAGCAAATACGTTGGCCAAGACAACTCGCAAAAGGCGTTGCCCTTTCGACATTAATGGAGCTGCGCTCGGAGTGAAAGAGGGCAGAGCAATCTCGAGGTGGAGCTGAAGGCTGTGAGCGAAGCTGCACTGGCAGAAAAAGGAAAGCCAAGAGTTTGCTTTGAGATGTGGAAAAGCAAGGCATCTTGAGATGGATGCACTGAACGAAAGTCTTGAAGGCAATGTTTAAAATGAGACTAACAACTGTACTTTTCGCCAAGTGTACACAATTGGAGTTCTCTCTCGCCATAAACCTCCCTCCAGCCCCACAAGGAGCCCAACTCACCTGTCTGTTGCGCAGCGAGCATAGCCACCAGCCTTCGATGCCCTCGGTGTCCTGCTCGATGACTGTAAGGATGTCGCCCTTCTTGAAGGACAGCTCGTCGGACATATCCGCTTCATTGTCGTAAATGGCCTTGGCATAAAGCTTCTGCAAATAAATCAAGCAACGAAACAAAAGAAGGCAACAATTAAAATCAGTTTTGAACAGTTTGCTGTACTACAACGTATCAGAATAAAGAAATTTGTATAATGATCATAATGAACTGCATGCAAGGTAGCAGCTTCTAAGAAGCCGCAAGAGCAGAACGAGCACAAGATTCAGGCCCAATTTCAATGGAATTTCAAAGACGTGAAACTTGGACCAGTCGCTGACCGACCCCGACATTGACTTTTGCCTCCAACAAAAATCCAAACTAAACCAAAACATCATTCATAAGAACTCGTCTGCGGTTTCTACAGGTAACAAATTTTAGCTCTTATTTCTCTTCTGTTGTTTCTTTTTCTGTTCCAAAACAAAAATCCGAAAAAAAACACAAAAAAATTGCACAAACTGCAAAACGAATTTTCGGGCAAAACTGAAAACAAAGCGAGTTCTTGTTGCTGTTGTTGTAGCCATTGTTATTGTTGTTGCTGTAGTTTCTCTGTCTTAGCTCAGGCCATGCGCTTCATTAGTTTACCTGGCATTTCAGGTCAGAGCACACACGGCCAACAGCTCGGGCAATCAATGCAGAAACACACGCCTTATTAAATTTGCCAAAATCGCTTACGGCACTTTAGAGTAACTCAGTTTCTTAACACTTGAGATATGGTCAGAGATCGGCTATGATTATGACTAATATATGTTATTAGATATGCGCGGAAATTCGTTCTAATGATTGGTTACACTCGAAGAAAACTAATGAGCGCTTATAGTAATATAGAACAGTTGAAATAGATTGAAAATAGTAGAGAAAGGAAGAAGTCATACACTCAGAAGAAATATTATAATATAATATATGTGTTATATAATTATTTATATCCACATCTACGATTTAAAGAGCAATTTAAACACAATTGACCACACTTTTCTCTCAGTGCAGTGCGCCCATTGCTGCGCGCTCTGCCGACGCCATAGACACGCTCAATAACGGTTAAGCGTTTGCTCCATTGTTAAACAGTTGCATTCCAGCCAAACGCACTTAAACGTTGCCTTTATTAATTTCTATAAAAAACGCCTCTAAAGCAATGCGCACGACTGTGCATTGTACCTACATATGTATGCATGTATGTGTGTGTGTGTGTTTGGGCAAAGGTTTCTTCAATGAATGAGCTGATATCTATCCATGTGTGTGCTTGTGTGTGTGTGTGTGTCGGTCGGCGGGTTAAGCGTGCTGCTTTTAATTTCGCCACCGCATCGAACTAAAATCCAAAACGAACATTTCCAAAGCTCAAACCAAAGCCGACAAACCGTTGCCGTTAACTGCACTAGTACAACTTGTTGCCCCCGCTCGCACCCGCTCCCTTGCGCTCTCTTCAGCTCTTGCTCTCTTATATCGTCGCTTTTTATGTCCCCCTCATTCGCTTCATTTAACCCTCGGCTCCTGGCTGGCTCATTTAATATGAGCTGCGGATATCGCATAGAAAACACACACACACACACACACACACAGAGAGAGAGACAGGAACGTATACAAAACGCCAGCGATTACAATATCGCGCGATGAATCGCCGTTGAACTTTCAACTCGAGTTTTGGTGTGAGTGCGCGGAACCCGTTTCAACAACAACTACTTGGGCTGGGTTAGGGCAATGCGCATTTTGTATATTCTACTTTTCAATTTGGAAAGCCGAAACCGTTCGAAATGTCAAAAAGAAAGAAAATGAGCTCACTTGAAGTTCATGTGCGTGAAGCACAGGGCAGCCCAACAAACACTCGAGCAACGCGTTGTTCAAACAGTCAAGCCGCAAACACCAACCACAACAACAACAACAACAACAACAGTGAACAGCGAACAACAACACAAAAGCAGCGAGCTCAAGAAATATTTGTTAATTTGCCTGCGACAAACGTAATCGATGAATTTGATAAGTGCGTGCGAGCGAGATGGCGCATCACTAGCAGCTGCCAGGGCTGCGGGCTCCCATTTCGTCTGCTTCTTTCTTGCAGTTTGCTTTGCTTTCTTCTTCGAATGGTTATTTTAACACAGCGCTAATTGTATGGGCAAATATTTATAGTTGGGCGTTTGGTATGTGGCTTAGGCAAACAGAAATCAAATATCGATATACTTTTGTTTGTGCGCAGCGACTTTAATTGGTTTGTTTAGCGCGTTCCACAATGGAACCACAAAATTGGAACTGGAAGTGCGCTAAGCTGTTGTTCAGGGGCACTGGAAAGCTTGGAGAAATGTCAACCCAAATGTTGTATAAGACACATTTTGAAAGTCTTATAAATTGCATACATTTTTAAATTATGCATGCAAAATGCTGCTATAAATCTGCCAATATGTGCATAAAACCGTAATTTCAGCCTTTGGGCCATTTTGTGTGTGTTTTTCCTTCAAAGTGAAAGAGCTCCGCCGATTTATTGTTTTTAAAACGGCACGTATATGACCACAGCAACAACAACAACAACAAAATAACAATTCCATATAACTCTCTTGTACGCAGATTTATTTCTTCTTCTTTGAGCCAAAAGACAACAATGCCAAACAATAAAGATCTTTATATACACAGCATATATTTGGTGGAGTACATTTATAGAGCTTGGCTGGCTTCAAAGGTTATTCACCATGTGGGCCATAAAGACAGAGGCAGCCTATTTTATTTTGGGGCGGGAGGCCTTTGTAGAAAGTCCGGCACATTTCATAAAGCTTTCGATCTGTTACTCTTTTCAGTCTTTACACACTCCTCTACAGAGCATGACCTTAGCTAGCTGAATTGCCGCACAGCCATAAATAGCTAAATTCACATAGACAAAATCGAAAGATCAAGCAAATAAATCAAACAACAGAAGCCGCCGGCGACAGCGTCTTAATGAGCACTTAAAATTCGTAACAACAATAAAAAAAAAATGTTTGTAAAGAAAAGACAGAAAAAATAATAAAAAGAGCGGAATAAATGGCAACAACTTTGCCAAAATTTACTCAGCTTTTGAGGAGCCTCAAGTTGAGTCCTCAACAATGACAATCTTTGACTTGAGAGGAGCCCATTAACCGCATTAAGCCGAAGCAAATGCCAAAAGCAAATACAAATCTTATAATCGGGCGTCACTGACTGCATAATACTTGTTCACGTCTATATCTATTACTTTAAAACTAACGTAAATATAGCACAATTCCTACATAAATTCAGAGTTTCAAGTTTAGCTATATCAAGTCTCTATGAAGAAAACCAATATACTCTTTTCACTTTTTATGAACAGGTATAAAAATACATTCATATATACATAAAAAATATACTGTAGTCTATATTACCCAGTGATAACCCCTAGTCAAAAAAGAACTGATAATCCATATTGTATGTATATGTATATATATATGTGTGTAATATATAGTCACATCTATATACATATATTTTCTTAAGGTTTTTGGTCGTTGCGTGACTGATAAAGTTTTGTGTTTTTCTTTACCTTTGCTTTTAATTAAAGCAATTTCGCAGGAGTTGTTTATAGAGCATATTTATATGTATGTATAATGCACATATATATGTGGATATACCTATATATGTATTTATATATTTATCACTATTTTGCTTTCCGAAAACATTTAGCTTAATTAGCAGAAATCAATTTTCTGTTGATTTTCTGCGTCATATTTAGGTTTCTTCTTCTTGGGTTTTTTTTGGGTTTGTGTCAACCTTTGGACATTGGCATTGACTAAGTGTAAGGTCTGATTAAGTAAACCTCGGGGGCTTAACCTGCTTAACGTCTGTGTGAAGCACCTCGAAAGCGAAAAACATGAACGAAATTTTAGGCGAAGCTTAAGATACCCTTTAGAACTAATATGATATCGAGCAGAAAATTTAGGGATACGCTGTATACGGCTGTGTGCTCAATAATACATATATCACAGGAAAATTATAGGAATAGCAAGACCTCGCAGGAGTATTATGACGATAACAAAATAAGAATGAATATGAAGAAGAATATGAAGAGGTATGATAGACTTTTATAGTAAAATGACCTAGGTCACAGATGAGAGGCATCTTCTATGTGTATATACATATGTATATATTATGCCCTCCATTTGTTTACTAAAAGGTGTAAATATACTTTTAAATATAACTGCAAATGGGAGTATGGCAAATATTTAAGTTATATCAAAACATATACATATGTACATATATGTAACTAGGTATATATTTATATAGACTTTTGTTCATTTTCTCAGCCCACTTGTCTGCGGAATATAAAAAAACGCCATATGTTGCGTTGAACTGGTTTTATTGTTGTTGTTGCTGCTGCTGCTGCTGTTGTTGTTGTTGTTGTTGTTGAGTGCAAAAATAAACAAAATGTTTTGCGTCTTGACAGCTATAGCCTTTTCGGCACATTTCGTCAAGTCGTGTGCAAAAAATGTGACAATAAAAGACTTGAAAGCAGGCCAACTGAGCCAAAACACGTTCCACACACTCGCACACACACACACACACACACACACAGCCGAGTTTAGCCAACTGTTAAAGTTGATGTTAAAATGCGTTGACAACTGCTCGAAATCAACTCCCACAATTGTCAAAGATGCACATTGAACGATTCGCTGCGTCGTCCTCGTCGTCGTCGTCAATGAGAGTGCAACAGATACTCTCTGTGTCTACGATATGCCACGCCCATGACGTCTACCGTCTGCAGTCAACCGCCCACCCGCCCGCCGCCTCTGGCCACATGTCAGCCTCAATGAACAATGAGCAATGAAATAACTGCAAGTGTCTGTTGAGCCATTTAACTGTAAATCAACTTTAATGGATGTGACTCGCGCGTAATCCACAAGGTGCGGGTGGGGTAGGCGTGGCGCAGGCCAAGCTTCAGGAATGCAGCCGCATTGTTGACCCCCAAGCAACGCGCTCAATTGAATTAAACTACAAAAATCTTTGATTTATTTAAATAAAGTCTTGGCTTAGTTGCTCTCTGACAAGAGCTGCACTGAAAAAAAAATACTCTATAGAAATAAGTGTG